CATGCCAACACCACACCAAACAACCACTAAACGTAAAAGAAACGAACTAAGGGCAAAATAGTCATTTCACACGTGAGTTTTCGATATTTTCGGGACGGGATGTCACATAAAGCACGCTTTATGCCTTCTTAGGTTAGTAGAGCATCCCGCTCTTAATGATTGGTCTCCAAAGGAAATGTCAAATTATAAAAGTCAAATTCCAATTAATAGTTGATGTGACAGTCTACAATTTTATGTCAAATTTTGTACATCTTTAACCGAATTGTCAAATATTATTTTATTATTTAAATAGAGTTTTAAATGCATGTAATAATTTAAAAAATATTGAAACAAAATTTTTATTGGTTGACATGTTAGTGGAATGAGAGATTTTGACCTCTTAATTTGAAGGATTATGGTAGTGAATGGAGGAAAGAGATCATCTCCCGATCTCTCCCTCCAAATCCCAGGGATCAAGTGATCTGGGCTTTAAAAATTTGATCCAACTGCTAAAAATTATTATAACTTTTAATTTTTTTTACTAACATCTCTGTTTTAAGCCATTGGATCAATTTTTAAAGGCCCAGATTACTTGATCACTGGGCTTTGGAGGGAGAGATCCGAAGACGATCTCTTTCCGTGAATGGATGGCCGGATGAGGACAAATATTCTTAGAATTACCAAAATGTCCTACAATTAACGCGGGAATCTGGTTAATGAGATTAAGATGGCCAATGCCTATTGAATGTGGTGGGGTCTAACTATCCAAGTCTACCAACCTCGTAGTGGGTCTACTAAAATAAATTTGATCAATCGTGTGGTGGGGATCTCATATTAGAATTGACCTCATTTAGTTAGTGGGCCCATGTGGTGAAGTGTCTTTTGTTTTTTTGGGTCAAATGATACTTCATTAACAAAACAAGCATATACACATTAAAGGTCCAAATACAATATTCGCATAAGCAAAATAATGGACCTCAAAAGTAACCCACAATAGAGAAACAGACACCTAACCCTAAAGGTCTTCTTCCAGCACCTTCGTTGATAGTCGCAGCTCCTTCTACGGTCTCGAAACATCACCACCAACCATACCCGTACCAGCACCTTAAAGATAGAAAGAACAAGGATCTCGTCTTCCAGCAAATAACAACACATCGAACACGACCACCAAATAGACGAAGCTTGTGGGCATACGACAGACAACAGTGCCATATTCGGCAGACAAAGAGAAAGAGGTGGTGAAATCACCCGAGCCGGTGTAAACTCGGAGCTCTACTCACCTTCTGAGATGATGACTGCAACAGATCGCAATCAAAATTAGTTAAAGCTCGGATCCGAGGTGAAATTGGTGGAAGGTAGGTGAAGTTCATGTAGATGGGTGTGTAGATGAGTGGTTTGAAAGTTGGATGTGTGGATTTGAGGGAAAGAGAACAAAGATAGTCAATGCTGAGAAGGCAAAACGAAATAGGAAGAAAAAGCAAGAAAAACTAACAGAAAGAAAAGAAAAAGAGGGTTTCCGTCGACCCTAAAAGGATTAGGGCCGGCGGCAAGAGGAGAAAACAAGGTTTTGTACTGCTCTCACATAGAGAGAAAAAGCTCTCACCCTTAGAGAGAAAGTCTCTCACACCTGGAGAGAATGGACACTGATTAGTGTCCTTTTTCTCAAAGGTTTAGCCCAAACTAGTTGGTCAGAAACTAGCCCAATTCGTCAATAATTAAAATAAAAACAAATAAAATTTGTCTGGCTATTCAGTATTACGGTCCGGTGGTGTTCTTTTTCACCTGTAAGTGAGAGGTCTTAGGTTCGAATCTCATGAATAGCGAATTCAAAACCAAATTAGATTGACCATTGTGTGGCTTAGCCAAATTCTTCCTACTAAAAAAAAAAAAAAAAAAAAAAAAGAACTATATTTTATATGGAGGAAAACCAAAAGTGGAAGGTGGGAGTGGTTTTTACATGGATAATCCTCCTTCCCTACTACTTAAACAAGAACGCCCTTTTAGGATTTTTATTCATGTCCCTTTCAACACCAACCAACCACCACCTTTATAGCTCCATTTCTTTTGGATTTTGGAAAGCAATTTGTGCTTTCTCAAAACAAAAAAACCTACTTGGAATAAACACTTGTTCACATGATTATTGACAAAGTTCTAGAACGCTGATTGGCTCCTTATCTATAAAGATCTTTCATGCTTATTTGATTGTATGCACATTACTTTTATACGCATGTACAAAAATAGTCATTCAAAGCCCAAAACGAAAAAGTTACGCAACGTCTCTAATTACAATTTGTCTGTTAAAAAACAGAGCTGACTCATTGTGGATAATACCACAACTATTTTTCCAAAGTTCTATCCAAACCTCTTTCACGCTCAATTCCTCACACGCTTGTAATGCGACTTGTATGATAAGTGCAACAAATTTTCCGAAAATACTTAGGTTTGGGACCCACTACTGTTGAGAGTATTCTACATTTAGAGATGGAAGTGTTGCTTTAGATTCAGGAGAACCTTTGCCGGATTCTCTTTGTAAAGATTCTAAAAATCCTTCAATCACATTCATTTATAATACATTATATGGTAAAAAATTATTGTAATTTTTATATTTAAAATTGAATATAAATAATACTTCGTAAAAACTGGCTGCACGATGTACGATAAACGAATGTGATTGGAGGATTATCGAGATCGTCGCAAAGAGAATCCAACGAGAATCCTCCTCGCTTTAGATGCGTAAACTAATTATCTTGAGTTTCTCCACTCATTGTCAATTGAATTTGAATTTGACCATCACGTTGTAACAACTGTATTTCACCCCCACTTACTATGTGAAAAGTTGCGTCGTGTGTCGGTTTGCTTTCGGTCTTAACGAAATCCATAGCCTATGATGATACCATGTCGTGTGACAAGGTAATTTACCGAAAGCTATAATGATTATTATATGTGTGTGGATTATGAAAGGGTAATTTGAGTTTCCAAAATTAGCCGAATGGGTGTAAAGTTATAGGTAAAGCTTTAAGTAGTAATATTTAGCGGATGATGATCCTCCTTGAATTCTCTTTGTAAGGATTTCAGGAATCATTTTATTGTAAATTGTGCGGTCAGTTTTCGTCAAGTATAGTTTGTGTTCAATTTTAAATAAAAAAATTCAAAATAATTTCTAACCGTAGAATAACAGATGAATGGACACAATAAAATGATTCTTAGAATCATCACAAAAAGAATCTGAATAGGATCCTATTCTATATTTAGCGTCTATTTTACTCCACTTCTTAATTTTAGCTGCTTTTGAACATGTTCCGGTGGAAAGGGGATGATTAGAAACATTCTGCTCACCAAACAAACCCCAAATTCTCACCCTCAAAATTTGCTTTTTGGCTTTTCCCTCCACATTTTAACGATTTGATTTTTTATGCAAATTTGACCAATACGGATGCAATGCGCGTTCACGAAGGTCAAAATCCCTGGTCATTCAGTGTAAATGAAAAGAAAATCACACGGACTTTTGATTCACAATTCCCGCGTAGAATTTTTGACATGTCTCCCCCTACAAATTTAATTACTCACGCATAGCGTGTGGACATATGACTAGTTGTTTGCCAACCATCTGAATCGAAATTGACAATAGTTTGTTAGAAGATGCTGTTTTATGTTGTTTCTCCACCAGCTGAAAACCAATCCATGTCAAAAACCAATTCTTCTAGCAAATGATACTTTATTGCAATGACAGAAATAATAATACTTACGTACTTTGATGCGGATTCTATCCTCACTGATCTCCCTTTCTTCTAACATTTAACAATTTAACGTACTAATACTGTCTTTTATAAAAAGAACAGAAAAAAAGAGAACCAATTCTTCTTAAAACCAGGAGTTTAGTTTATGATATTGTGTTCGCATCACTTGTGGGAACGCACTGCTCTTATATATGTAAAGAGAGACGTTTTCACATCTTTTTAACTGGAAATGGTTGGAGAGATTTTGACATGTATATGAATGGTAATCAATTAAATAATCTGAATTTGAAATCGGAATCTTGTTGATTTCGATTGAGAATTAATAAAGATGCTTAAATTGTTTCTTAATAATAGTGTTTCTATTTTTGTTGGAGAATGTCAACATTGTTATATAAAGTCTGTGTGGAAGCCGGAAGGTGCTTCGAAGCTTGTTATAGATGCAATCAAAGGATTTTTTTACAACTCCTTGGCGATTGAGAAACATTAGTGAAGACATTTTTGCTTTCGATTTCATATTTTAGAGCTATGTTTATACGATATATGATGAACGGACATAATTTTAAAATTTTCAGAATTTTCACAAAAAAGATGCGAAGAGAATGCTCATTCTTTCTTGACGGATGCAATCACTGCTACACCTACACGGTAAACTGGAATAGTTAATGGACAAGGATTGTCTGCCCTCTCCCGTGCCCTCCTATTTGTGTGGTCACGATTAAGTTACGTCAACATTTTATATTACTATTCATTTTATCTTATTATCTCTATAAAAAAAATATAAAATGTTAATATGACTTAACGGTGATCATACAAAACAGAAATATACGGAAGGATACCGAAAATGAAACGGTATACAATTCTTGTCCATAGTTAATTATCAAGAAAAGGATGAAAATAGTAAATACCCACTTTCTTGTGGTAAACTGTAATAATGTCAAGTTCTGTATCCAGTGTGGCGGGTTCCACCTTCGGTCCTCCCTCTCTAAAATTTATTTCCTTTCAGACACTTTCTCTCTCCCTCTCTCTCTCTCTCTCTCTCATCAAAATCTGAAATTCCACGATCAAAACGAGAAAAAGCACCCTGCGTTCTTCGCAACCTCCAATCTCTCGTATTTCCACGCCCTATTTTGTTTTCTTATGCACAAAATTAATTTACAAAATTTAAATTTAAAGAAAATCAAATTAAAAACCTGTTCGTATTGTATCTGCCGCCTGACTGCCTGCCTGCTCCTTTTTCTCTCAAACTCTCACAGAGGAGAGAGAGAGACTCGGCTCAGAGCCTCTGTCCCCTCCTCGCATGGACAGTCATTACTCGTCCCCGTCGATCTCAACGGTCAGATTTGCTTCCCACCCCTTCACTTATTTTCATGCACCGGATCTCGCTACCCCCCTGGCTCTAGATGTGTTTCTATTTCTATATCTATAGGTCTGTGTATGTATGTGTGTAAATGCATGTTTGTGCTGCTCATTTGTAGTTTCTGCTCTAGGGTTTCCATTAAAATCTCGAATTTTCGTTTGGGTTCCGTTAAAATCTGGAATTTTGATCTTCGTCTGAATCCGATTTGTTCCTTCTCTCTCTGTGACCCGGTTAGATCGTAGTCGGATCTGCGGTAGGTTGTTCACGATGCTTCGTTTGTACGGACAGGCATGGAGGAGGACGCCATGAGGAGGAAGACCAGGTCCGCTAGGCGCAGAGTTGGCGGTGGCGGTGAGTGGCATTGGCTTGTAATTTTGGGCTCTCTCCAGGGGTTACTTGCCGGATGATATGGGCTGCGGTGGCTCCAAGGTCGACGACTTGCCGCTAGTCACGCTTTGCCGGGAGCGGAAGGACTTCATCAAAAAGGCGTTGGACCAGCGCTACGCTCTCGCCGCAGCCCACCTCTCCTACTTCCAATCCCTCCAGCATATCGGCGACGCCCTGTGCAAGTTCGTCGACGAAGACCTTATTATCTCCGGCGCCGGCGGGTCGTCTTCGCCGCCGGGATCCCCAGTTCTCACGTTACCCTCCGACGAAGGCAAGCCCAGGAAAAGGAAACCCCATACAAACGACTCGTCGTCTACGTCGATTTCGCACTCTGTTTCCGCTGATTCGCCGAAAGCGGACGACTTTGACGACTCTCACATAAATTTGTCGTCTGGGTCCGAGTCAGAATTCGAGTACTTGTCGTCGGGTCACATTCACATCGAGGACAGCCCGGAGCAAGAGGTACCCTCTTCTTCTTCCTCCTATCGTTACCCTTCGAGTTACCCTTCGAATTACCCTCCGAATTACCCCCCGAATTACCCTTCGAATTACACTCCGAATTCACATATGTATTATATGAGAAGGACAGAGACGCCGATGCAGACGGTGTATTACGAAGAGCCGGAGAGATATCCGACCCAAAATGGTCCTTACCTGGATCCTTATCCGGGTTATTCGGGTTTTCAGCCATATGGCGGTGGTGGGTTTTTCGGGTATCCAACTGGGGTCACCGGTGAATAGTGAAAATCCTTACAACAGACGGCCGCTGAGCCCACCATCACTGGCCCGTCCTCCACCTGCACCGCCTTCGCCTCCGACAACCTCCACTTGGGATTTCCTGAATGTGTTTGAAACTTATGATAATACTGGTTACCCGGGTTCCTATCCGAAGGCTAGATACGGGTACGGGTCCACGGCGAGCAGTCCGGACTCGAAGGAGGTGAGGGAGAGAGAGGGAATTCCTGATTTGGAGGATGAGACAGAGCAGGAAGTGTTGAAAGAGGTTCACAAGGAGAAGCGGAAGGCGAATGAGGAGGGTAATGTGAATAGGAATAGGAATCGAAATTCGGGTGAAGGGACTTCAAGGGCTGTGCCATTGAAGCAGCCAAGCAGTGAGGGGAGTTCAGGGACAGTGCCATTGCATAGCAGTGAAAGTTCACACTCTGGGCGTGGGAAGGAGATAAAGAGCAGTCCTGATACAATTGGATCCAAAAACTCTGAAGAGGAATTTGTGAAGAAAAAGAGGGTGAGTTTTGAGTTTGAGGTTGAGGTTGAAGCAGCATCGACGCACGATGTTGGATCTTCTAAAGGGAGTAGCTTAACTACATTGTCAGTCCACAGTACAAGGGATCTTCAGGAGATTGTGAAGGAAATCAGGGATGAGTTTGAGACTGCGTCTACTTATGGGAAAGAGGTTGCCATGCTGCTTGAGGTGGGCAAGTTACCTTATCAGCCTAGAGGTGCTGCACTTAAAGGTAGGAGTCTAATCCCTAGTCGTCTTGGTACTTTATCATACATATCCTCATTCTGTAGATTGCTTCCACCATCTTGTTCGACCGCATTTAAATGGTGAAGTTTTTGTCTGTTGTTGGGAATCTAAGCTGTGCGCTGTCTATGCATTACATCCCAGCTCCATTGTAACAAGGGCTTACTTTCTCTGAACTAAAATGCATACTTATTGACCCAAGTAGCATAAAATACTTAAGTGTTGTGCCTTATAGACTCACATGAACCATGTGCCATGAGTAGATGAGAAATTAGGATTTTAGAAGTTCGCATAATTAACAAGATGATTTCAGAATTATTTTTCTTCCATGTTTTTGTTAGAAGCTCTGGTTGAGCAATGTGGATACAATATTGCTTTACTTTTTCTTGCATTTCCTTTTTCCGTATACTCAGTTGTTAAGCATTAGATATGGCTTTGTAATTGAACTTGACCAAGTCTTGACACTGAAAAAAAGTATTAGTACCTCCCTTGTTCATGTTTGCTTTAAATTAGAAACCAGCATGTTACGCAACAAATTTTTTGGAGATAGCTGTGAAACATTTGTCACTGGAGGACCTTCTCAGGTTTTACTTCTGAGGACCTTCTCATGCTTGAATTTGCGTTGATAATTACTTGGCTCCGGATTCCTTTTACACATTGCAAGGCTTCATACTGCAATGACCAAAAACTTAAAAGTCCAAGTTACACCTGAATGTTTTGAAAAAAAAAAAAAAAAAAAATATAAATCTCACTGTTTCGACTGTAGAATGCTTGTAGGATCGATAATCAAATTCTGTTATAGTCTAATACTTTTTATTGGGGTATTTATGAAGAAGCATTATTGCTGCTGTTTCATTAAAACTTATGCATGTCTATGCAGTGGTCTTCTCAAGGATCCTTTACCTTGTAGCACCTTCCATGCTGTCTTCACCCCCTTCATCCAGGCCACCAGTAAAATTAAGTTCTAAGACCGTGGAATTGGCAAAAGCTTACCAGGGAGAACCGGGAAAAGATATCAAGAAGCCTGGAAACCTCTCATCGACTTTGGAGAAACTTTATGCATGGGAGAAAAAATTGTACAAGGAAGTTAAGGTGAGAGAATCAAAATTATGGACGTCATGCAGCTCATAATTACTACTATGATGACACTAAAAGACTAAAGTCCTTGTTAGCTCACAGTCACCAAATCCTTTTATTGCAGCAGGTTGCAAAAATTATTTCATTCCTCTGATTTAACAAGTACAATGCATTTGCACTCATAGAAGGACCTGAATTTCTATATTATAGTTTTTTTTTTTTACCTGTACTAGCTTCAATTTGATGTGTCAATCATTACTTTTTTTGTTCTTCAAGTGGCTTGGAGCTTGCTCCTGTTGACATCTGTTTAATATGTATTCGTGTTGCACTAATTTTAGGACGAAGAAAAGCTACGGGTTGACTATGAAAAGAAGTGCAAGAAATTGAAAAATCTAGATAATCATGGAGCTGAGTCTGCTAAGATTGATGCCACCCAGGCTTCTGTACGGAAGTTGCTAACCAAAATTAATGTTTGTATCAGAGCTGTTGATACCATATCAAGGAGGATACATAAGTTGAGGGATGAAGAATTGCTTCCCCAAGTCACGGAATTGATTCATGGGTAACAAATCTCTTCAACTTCTTTCAGCAACAGCTTATCACTTTGGGTCACAACAATATTTGCATTGGTTCACTTTTATTGTTGGATGAATTAGTCTGAATTATGTTCTGCCTTTTTTTCTTTCATTTCATTGCTTTTTTATTTGTGTAGAATTTGTATATATGAGGTTAAGGTGATTGTGTTAGAGATTATTTCCCAATAGTTAAATCAATAAGTTGGTAGTGGTTCGTATTGAGCCCCCCACCAGCTCAACGGTGATGACTTTTGCTTTCTATTGGGTCACTTTCCCTCATGCATGACGCCTTAAGACTATTGGTGACAATTTTTGTAGGGGGATTCGTAAAAAGTATGATTCCTGAACTTGCATGTAAAGATGCTTAAACTTTCCTACCAACAATCCATCTGTACATCGAGGGATAGATTATGGTGTGCTACAGGGAATCGTAGCCCTTTTACATTTTCTTTCCATTATTTTTGCCCTCCTGCCAAACATAGGTTATTTACTGGTGATGTAATATCTATTACTTGCAGGGACTTGACTTTATATGTTAATATTTTTACGTTCTAAGTTTATTTTTTTAACTCACCGGGGATCTTTTGTTAATTATATGTTCTATCTATTACTTGCAGGGACTTGACTTTATATGTTAATATTTTTATGTCTAAGTTTATTTTTTTAACTCACCGGGTATCTTTTGTTAATATTAGGATCTTTTTATCTGCAGATTGATAAGAATGTGGAAATCCATGCTTAAATGCCACAAGAAACAGTTCCAAGCTATTATGGAGAGCAAAATTCGATCTCTTAAGGTGAGCACTGGCCTTCGAAAAGATTCCGGTTTGAAAGCTACTCTTGAACTTGAAATGGAGCTTCTGAGCTGGTGCGCCTCCTTTAACAATTGGGTCAGCACCCAAAAGTCCTATGTGGAGTCCTTAAATGGGTGGCTTTCAAGGTGCATTAATCAGGAACCTGAAGAAACTACCGATGGAGTTGCCCCTTTCTCCCCAAGCCGGATGGGAGCTCCACCCATTTTTGTAGTTTGTAATGATTGGTGCCAAGCAATGGAAAGAATTTCCGAAAAGGGGGTGGCAGGTGCGATGCAAGATTTTGCTTCAACCTTACACCAGTTATGGGAAAGGCAGGACGAGGAGCAACGTCAGAGGATCAAAGCTGAGTATGTCTCCAAGAATTTGGAGAGCCAACTCAGAAAATTGCGTATGGAGAGAGCAAAAAGAGACCATGACCATGATGCATCAACAGACAAAAGTGCTCTGTCAAAGTCTCCTTCCGATAGTGGAGTTTCACCACTAGATGATCTGAAGGTGGATTTGGATTCAATGAAGAAGAGATTAGCCGAGGAGAGAGCGAGGCATAAGGAGGCCTATCAAATTAGTTAATCACGCAGCTTCCAATAGTTTGCAAGGTGGTTTGGTCCCAATTTTTGGAACTTTAAATAGTTTCACTTCAGAGGCTCTGAAAGTTCACGAGCAAGTCAGACTTCAAGATGCCAGAGGCTCATAGCGAATGTAAAAATATATTTATACAAGTCGGACGTGTGTTCTGTGGAGTAGCTAGAGCCCGTCTGTATATGTACAGTTGTTTCTTGAGATCGCATACATTTAGAAATGGTAGGTTAGCAGAAAAAGAAAAGGGAACTATATGAAACTTTAGGCATGACAGAGAGCCTCGAGAAGGTATTTAGAAAGGTTGATAGACGGTAGAGTTGATCCCTTTGGGTTGCCTGGAAGTTGATGCATTCTCATCTCGACTAGGAGATATTTTTTGGTCTGGCGGATGTACTGCATCACCTGCGTCGCCTCCACACAAACATTGGGGGTGAGGACCTTAATACCAAAGGGTTCCGTTCTTTGTGTCTGTGTGGTCTGACTGGTGACGTGGTCCAAGGCAGAAAGCCAAGAATGCCTCCTTAACTTGATATCTTGTACTGCACAACCCCTCTAACAGATGGCAAATTTGTACAGAAAATTCATTTATTGGGTTTATTGGTTTTTAGGTGGATGTATTGCCTGTTGTTGGAATGTGTAGGATGTCAGCTTAGAGAAACTGCAAGTCTTTATTCCATTACCAAAATGGTTTGTCTTTTCTTGTACTGGCTGGATCTCTCTTATGCTTCATCCCCTTGCATTAATTAAAGTGCATGGTGCCCGTTAGAGTTGCATTGTGTCTGAACGTGAGCGTTTTCTGACTATCAATGCGTGTGGACAGGGGCGGATGGAAGTAGGATCAAGGTGGTCCTGGGACCATCTAAATATACACGTGAAGGTTTTTCAGTGACTTTGAATATTTGGTATGGGTTGTTTTTGTGCTTACTAAATGTTTGATGTAATGCATGCTAGACATATTTTGACATGTTGCGTTAATAACACTTGACAATTACGGCTCAATCAAGGAAGAGTTAAAGGTGGTATTTAGGGAATTTATTCAAATTCCTTTCATCACTCCTCATCAATCCCTTGTTGATTTTATTCAAAGGGTAACTCCTAAAACTACCTATTTTAATTAGAAATAATTATCATGTTAATTGCAAGATATTATTTCACAATATCTTGCAATTATCCCCCATCACCACCATAAATGGCCGGCCACCCTCCTATAAATACCCTATTTATCTTACTAAAATGCTAAGTCATCTGCTACCCACATACTCTTGAATACATTAAATTTTCAGAGTTCTAAATTTGGCATAAGAGATTATTCGGGCAAAGCCCCTCCCCCTTCCTTCTCAATTCATCGTGGGCACGTGAGACTGTTGACCTTAATCAAAGTTGTTATTATTTTGCAAACGTATTTTTCGTCAAAGGAAGAGATGGAGGAAATTTGCATCCACAAATTGGTGTTTTCATTGAGAGATTGATTCACACGCTCAAAGAAGACTTTTGCATTCAAAGTTTCTCATTTCTTGTTCATTCTAAATTTTTTTTTGTATGTTCTTATTCTTAGAATTTTTTAATTCTTTGAATAGATGTAAGAGAAAAGTACAATGGTAGGGAAATTCGGAAACCACGACGAATGAAACTTTCTACGTTCAAAGATCCGGATCAAATGATGGAGATTGCGATATAGCCCCACAACGTCGATCCATGAGACTCAACTTGGCGGTAAGAATACTAACTTTGCCACTATGGAGCACCACCACCATAGCAACCACGGCAACTGCCATGGCAGTGGGACAACTTTATGGCAGTGAGGCCATGGTGAGTAGGCAGCAACAAAGCAGCCATAAGCTTAGGCCTAGGCCCAAGCGCCAGAGGCTGCCCAAGCCGTTGCTCCAGCAACGTAAGCCTAGGCCTGGCCAGCGCAAACCCAGCTCACGACCTAAGCTATCTAAGCCCAGACAGCTACAGTTGTAGCCATGGAGGAAGCCCAACACTTGCAGGCCCAAGGCCAGCGTGAACCCAGCACGCCTCTAAGCCAAGCAGGCCAGGCCAACTTGGACCAAGCAGCGTCGACAGTCCTTTTGGCCCAGATCCAACGCACTTTTAGCGTTGCACTGCACCTACACGCCTTGCACATGGCTCGGCCCATTTCTGCGGCCCTGCCTGCTCCCGTGGTTCACTTAGCAATCCTGACCGGTTCATCCTATAAACATCGAAATTTTGGTGAAATAAATGTTGACCAATAATTAAAATTTCAACGTTCACGTATCACATAAATTTTACACGTATCATGTAACTTAACAAAAAATCGATCAAAATCAGAAAAGTCATCAAATAGGACACATGTCAACACCTGGCAGAAATGATTTATTTCATCTGAATATTATATTCAAAATTTGGCCTTGAAAAATTCTATAAATAGAAGCCAATTTCATTCATTTCACTTCACCAATTCACATCACACCAAAACCTTGAAGCTTTGAAACTCTAAAGCTTTCAAGCAAATCCTGAAGGATCAAGAAAGCCCTATTCGTTCTTCGTCAAATCCTCCTTCAAGATTAAGCCCCGACGGCCCTTGAATAACTTCCATCAATTCAAGATCAAGCCCTGATGGCCCTTGAAGAAGGTGTTCATCATTCATTAACTGTTCATCAAGATCAAGCCCTGAAGGCATTGAAGATCCGTTCATCCTAAGATCAAGCCCTGAAGGCCCTATGGATCAACAACATCAACAAATATGCACCACTGTTCATCCCTAGATCAAGCCCCGACTACCTTTTTGGATCAACAACATCAACAAATCTGCACAATTGTTCATTCCTAGACCAAGCTTCGACGACCCTTTGGATAAACAACCCATCAACAAATCTACACATTACGAAGATAAAATCAGAGGATCAAATTGTAAAAGAGATTGTAACCCCAAAATCAATACAAAATATTATTTTGTACACGTGTTCTTGTTTCATTCATCGCAGGGATATTCATGTTCACAAATTTGGCACGCCCAGTGGAACTATCTCTACCTCTCATCTCTATCTTCAAATCCACAAAAGGGCACAAATGGCGTCAAGGAAGGTTCAAGCTGTTCCTGCAACCAAGGTGAAGGACAAGAACATGCTAGCCACAAGTGGTGACACTTCGGGCATCATAACTCGAAGTAAAGCAATAGCTCTTTCCGTCGTGTCTTCCACCCTTACATCAGCGTGGCTGAAGGAACAAGAGCACCCAAGGCACAAACCTGTGATCACCCTGGCCTCAATAAGAGCACTAAGGGAGGAAAGTCTGAAGAAGTACTCCGAGTCCCTACTCTTCGATGCCGACTCGAGCGGCAGCACAACCATGCAAGTCATGACCACTGGAGTAACTTCGATCGAGGAGCAGCTAGCTCAAATGAATGAAGCAATCACAAAACTCACATGGACTGTGGAGGAGAAAGACTTGCAAATTGTTGCACTCGTCAACTAACTGGATGCGTATCCTAACATGAAAGTCGACCCAAAGGTTGATCTACTAAAGAAGGAAACGACGAGGATGAGGAGCCTCCAGTGGAGAAAGTCGAAGAAAAGCCAGAGCTGGACTAAGCAGCGACGCTTATGGGATTTTTCGCTATCCAACAGCTATAGGAGATGATCGCCAGCACCATTAAGGCACAGTATGAAGGGAGCTTACATACCTCCATGTTGTACTCAAAGCCATACTCCAAGAAGATTGACGCCCTGAATATGCTGAGGGGTTATCAACCACCAAAGTTCATGCAGTTTGATGGAAAGGGAAACCCAAAACAGCACGTCGCCCATTTCGTTGAAACTTGCAACAACGCGGGGACGGAAGGAGACTACTTCGCGAAGCGGTTTGTTCGCTCTCTGGAGAGGAATGCATTCGATTGGTACACGAACCTAGAGCTTGAATCCATCAACAGCTGGGAGCATTTGGAGCGGGAATTCCTCAACCGTTTCTACAACACCCGCTGCACTGTAAACATCAACTGATGGTGCACTCTAAGCCTCGACTGCAAAGACAGGCTCTCAGAGATCTCATCGATTGAGATGTGCGTCCAAGGCATGCAATGGGGGTTAAACTACATCCTTCAAGGCATCAAACAATGGACTTTTGAAGAGTTAGCCATCCGTGCCCACCACATGGAGTTAAGCATCACCCATTATGGAAAAAAATGAGCCAATCACTGATTTCAAGAAGGATAAGGTATTTGCTTCGAAGGTGGACAATCATGGGAAGAAGCCTGCCAAGGAAGCTTTTACTATCAACACTACCCCTATTAAAACTTCCACTGCGCCTATCAAGATCTCTTCCAAGAACAAAGCGAAGGAGATAAAGAGAGATGAACCTTCTCGCACCCAAGATAGGTACAAAACACCTTAAGGGAGCTGGAGCAAAAGACATACCCTTTTCCTGACTCAGATATGGCTGCAATGTTATACGACTTGCTGGAAAAGAAAGTGATCGAGCTACCCAAATGCAAACGTCCCGAAGAGATGAATCACGTAAATGATCCTAAGTACTGCAATTACCATCGTATTGTGAGCCATCCTGTTGACAAGTGCTTTGTCTTCAAAGAACTCATCATGAAGCTAACACAACAAGGGCAAATCGAGCTCGACCTTGAAGACACGGCCGCAACACATACTACTACAATTGCGTTTAGATCCTTCGATCCCGTGCCTCTCCAAGTGACACCTGACCTATTAGGCCTAGCAATTCCTGACACGACCCGATAACCCGACATGAAATTAACAGATGTTTGGGTCGACACGATAACGAATCGGATCGTTATCGGGTAACCCGATAAGCAACTGTTAAGATAATGGGTTGGTTCGAGTATACACATAGGTAACACGATACACGATAAGAAAAATATTAATTTTATAATTTTATAACCCTAAAAAAATACTATAATAATTATATATATTAATTTAACAATTTTATACCCTGAAAAATAATAATTATATATATTAAATTAAATATTAACTATTGGATCGGCTTAAATATACATACCATTCAATTTCTTAAGTGTTATACGTACAAAATAAATAAATTTAAATCTACTTAATAAATATATATATACTATTGAACTTGATGGGATACGAATTCTACGAAACTAATTTCAATGATCTAACCGTCAAACTTGTTTGTATATTCTTCGAGATCGCATCAGCAAGAAATCGCAAAAAATAACCATTCAGGGATCAAGTAACGGGACAAAACTTTTTGACGGCTATCAATCAAAAATCATGATTTAACGGTTATTTTAACTCCAATTTTGATGTTTTTTACGGCTACACTGCTTGACCCTATAGGAATACAATGAACGAACTTGATCTTCAATTTAAAATATTTACACTAGTGGATACCACAAAATCTTATGTTATACTTAATGAAAGTATGAATAAACTCTTGAGTGTTAGTGAATCCATTGTTTTGATGGGATACGCATTCTACGAAACAAGTTTAAATGATCCAACCGTCAAACGTGTTTGTATATACTTCAATATCACATACGCCAAAAATTACAAAAAACAAACATTCAAAGATGAAGTAATGGGACAAACTTTTCGATGGTTATCAACCAAAAATCACGATTTAACGGTTATTTTAACTCCGATTTTGATATTTTTTACAGCTACATTCCTTGACCCTATATGAATACAATGAATGAACTCAATCTTCAATTTAAAATATTTACACTAGTGGA